CTAGCCTATCTACCATAAGAATATGAGCGAAATCGAATTTTCGACCCTTGCCGCGAAATTAAGAATTTGTCTGATTTTTACAGGCAGGCACTCTTGAGGGTAAAACTAACTGTAGAAAGATGCGTTTGGAAAACAAAGAAATCCGTCATGATTATCTTGATAAATATCTTGGTATTGATAGATCGTTGACAAACCTTGCAATGTTCGACTTTTGGAACAATGAACTAAAAGCAATTTTTAAAATAGCGTCTCAGCCGACAGTGTGTTTTTAAGTATTTAAGGTACTTTCTATAAACTCACAAAATCAAATCACATGTTATTTATTTTAAATCGTACATTGTCAACTTAAAGGTTTCTTATTATTAACATTCATAGCTTTGACATTGTCAAATTTATTGTTTTTATTTTTGACTTGAAATGTCATTTGGAGTACTTTTTCCTTTTTAGAATTAGTGTGATTTAACAATGTTTGTAAACCTGTCCTATTTTCTTTGAGATGCAAGTAGCTATAGCCATTTGGATTTTGGACCATCACGGATTGTCGCTGGGTTAAAAAGCGTCTATTCCAACGTTATCAAGTATCCTGTGAGACACTTTTCGTACCTCAATGTTAAAACCACCGACGGAATTAGATATCTATTGTGCGATTTATTGTTTCAAGTAACAGAGACGCATTATTTTTTTGCGATGGCGACTTCACGGCCAAGGCAAATTTGCCATCAATTTGTTTGAACTATATTTCTATAAGCCACTATTCAAGTCTTAACAACTGTGAAGGCAGCTTTGATTAAAAGCTTTACTGTTTGTTTTGCTCTCATGATGTGATGATCACAATCTGACATGGTATTTGCTTTCTCCGGCACCTGCCTTTTCAATATCACTTAAAACTACTTGATCAGTATACTATTTCTCTATACGATGTTTGTAAATTTTCAAGCAAACAGGTAGTGAGAATTGAGTTAGTTATCAACTGTACTAGGAGTTACTGTCTTGATGTGCCGCCAGAATCTCAGAACTAACCTTTATGGCTTTGTGTAGCGATCAGTAAAGAGAAGTAGTATTTCTATCTTTGAACTGGAAGGCTTCAGCACCAGGCGGTAGCATAACGCGAAATAGACGCTATTTTTCGTGTATTTCTTCAAAAAGAACCGAGTTCCTAAGCTTCATTTGTACGTGCTTACTTTGCACTTCCTTGGCCGTTCCAATTCCTTATTTTGCCAGTTCCATTAATTCGCGGCGAGAGCTCTGTATCACACACCAACCTATAACCTCGATATTAAAACGTACGATTTTAAACTGACCTCAAAAACATCCGCAAAGAAAATCGATTTTGCAGTGTGACGGATGGCTGAGTGTCATGTTCGGATGTGCTTTGTTTACTTTTCTTCCCTTTAAAAGACAAGGTACTCTGTCATTCAACGAAGGCAAGACTATATTTCGTTGAATTTTGTTCCTTACCTGTTTTCAGTTATATCAAGCTTTTGTGAGATAACAATCACCAACAGACCGGCCAGAGCTACACAGAGCAAGCCAAAGTAAGTGCATTTACTATATAAGTGATTTCATAAATCAGCCAGTTCCAAAATACCCACATTTTTAGCTCTGACGCTCCGAGAAGTGTAAGTACCACGAGCACTAAGGAAGGGAAATCTTGACAATTATTTCTAAGAATCGCAGTCTGGAATTCAATGGGTGTGTTATTTCAGGCGGAGACTTCGTCGCTTCACAAATCCCAATCCAAGACAAGTAAACCATAAAACGATTTAAGGAGTGAAGTCTCTTTTTAGATACGTTTAGTTTTATGGTTACGAGTTGGTGAAGGTTGTCCAAATTTCTTGGGATGCATGTTTCTTGGGTTTTAGTTCCTTAAGTCCTGACTCCATTTTTTCGTCTTAACCGCCTAGACATCATAAAAGTTACTGGTTATGCCTATCTCATGGTAAGAGAGGTCATCTGTTGTATAAGAATTTAGAAATACGTTAGAAATACTTAAATACGTTCGTTTCGCGAATGAGCTAAATATTATCGACATGACTATTCAAGAGAATTTTAATTATCCTGAGTTGAGCTACGAAGCAACTACGTTGGTGAACTGCTTTATTAATATGTAGCTTAGTGGTGCAGGAATGAAATATCGTTTAAATAAACTTGTGTAATTGAATTTTATATATGTCTTTCAACTTGAATACGTGTTAGCCAAATGTTGCTTTATCAGATGTCGGCTTAATATAAACGTTTTTCGTTTTATTGAATTGTCGGATTGCCTCGTGGCTGCGGGAAAAGTATTGTGAACAGACCTTCTATAAATATGAAGGTGTGATCTATAATATCAGGTTCCCCATTCCACGGAATTTGTCATCATCTGCCAGACTAAAAATCTACATAATCTTTTGTAGTTTAATACTCCATCTTTTTTGAGCGGTTTGCAGATTTTTTTCTTCAGCTTCTTCTTACTTCGTTTTCTAGAATTTGCGTAGCACTGCTCGACTGAAAAAAGTGTCGAGTTTATGAAGGGGTTTCTAGTTGGATAGATTCACAGCCATCTCCCTTCGTGGTGCTTCGTTTAAGGTCTAACATTAAAAATGGAATTCCGGTGATAAAATTCGTTTTTCATGACTATTTGCTAATGAAGTCCTGAAATGACAAAAATTAGCCGTTGTTTCGCGAGAGCTCTTTAATCGAAACATTGTCTTACTTTAGAGCCGTTTTCACTAGACCCTTTTAGCTTGAGCGGTTTGTTTATCCATTACAGACCACGCCATATTCTCTATTTAAAGGATGTTTACATATCCATCGAAAAATTATTCATTTATATACACGCGACTATTTCAAAATTGAAAGCAAGAATTCTAATCATCACATGGTCTGAAATGGGGCAACAAACCACCCCAGCTAAAAAGGTCTAATGAGTGTCGTAAAACCAAAAGCAAAGTAATCACTCTAACCAGTCACAGGCCATGTAGCTGACGCAAAGCGCGGGAATATGAGTGCGAGCCAGTCATGATTGGTTTTGGTTTTACTTCTGGTTGGATGAATAAATGGCGCGAGTAATTTAAGCCAATCGCATAGCGTAGCAATGCAAAACCAATTACTTTCGACACTCAATAGAAAACCGCTCTAATTACACTATTAATGGCTTTTTCTCCTGTTTGTTACTCCTCGATGGCGACCATTAGGTCTTCAGTTCGTTGATGAAACGTTAGAATATTGATATAAAACTGGTTGACACGGAATTTAATTATTTCGCGTCATAAGGGGAACCCATTAAGTCTCTGACTTTAAAGAAAACAGTAGCTAATATAAATCTGCTTATCAGTTTAAACGTCAGTCGTACCGCCCATCGTTGAAATATAGATACAAATCTTTTGATTTATTCTCGCATTTTTATCCAAGGAAAAAAAAAAGAGAGAGAATAGTTTTTTCATTATATTAGTGTTTGAACTCTCCAGGAAGACTACCAAGGCTCAAAATTAATATCTGCGTTTGGACAACCACAGACACAAAGATCTAATTATCTTAATTTTTCGTAGAGCCATTTTTTCTCTCGCGTTTGGCAGTGCGTAATCGAGAAAGTGGTTAGTTTCTATAAAAACTGGTTTGCTGTGTTGGTGGGCAAATGAGACATTTCGGTCGTCGATTACCAACTTGACGTTGATAAGGGTAATACATAAATAACTGATCATGACTTTTTGGTTCGCTTTGACGGAATATCAGGCGAGTTTGGATGAACAATGATTCGTATATTGGCAAGATACAGTCTAGACAAACATCCATGGCGAGACCCAACAAGCCTGAACGTGTACTCAAGAGTGTAAGGTTAAGTCTGCATACAAGCCAAATAGCCCATCAGGTCCCAGCTTATCCCGGTTTCCGCGCGTATGATGAAGCGACTTGGAGTATTTCTACTCCGCCCTGGATGGAATGCTAGTCCATGCCATCGCAGGGTTACCCCGGCATTAAGTTCGCCGGTACCCATTTATACGCCCGGGTGGAGAGAGGCACCGTGAGAGTAAAGTTTCTTGCACAAGAACACAACACAGTGACCCCGGCCCGGGCTCAAACCCGGACGGCTCGCTCGATCCGGAGACGAGCGCACTAACCATGAGCCAACCGCGTCTCCTCAAAAGCGTAAGACTAGGTATTTACCATTACCCAAATTTGGCCTAGGGACCTTTAGATTGGACTACGAGTTCGAGATTGAGTACGAATAGGACTTTCGAAATAAAACCAGTGACGTTTCCAGAGCCCTTGCTCTTCATGTCGGTTTTAGGTAGAGAGGGTAGCTCATGGGATGAGATGGGTATGTGACGTGATAATGTGGAGCTTGTGAACTGGTAGCGAGGAGCTCCGGAGGCCCGAAGGCCCGCCAAGTGGAACACATACTCATACAAGAAAGAAAAAGAGACCCATGAATTGATTTTCTTATGATTCTCATGGCTAGCGGTATTGCTCGTTCTCACAAGATGGCGGCCATACTCCGGGTGTCTGGAAAACCCGAATAGCGAATAGCGAATAGTCGTGAATAGTGCGAATAGTCTCGAATAGTGCGAATAGTGGCGAACAGTCGCGAAAAGTGGTGAATAGTGATGAATAGTCGCCAATAGTCACCGCTTTAGATCTAATATCCAGCGTTAATTAATTATCCAAATAAGCAACAGAGTTTCAGTGAATTTATTACCTTTTCTTCTCCGGACTCAGGCTGGTAGGCTGTCCATCGCCGACATTAAGAAAACAGAAAACAGAAAACACAAGGGTATCCTAATAAAGACGTATTTACGCTTTTGCAGCGGTTAAAACAGAAGAAATTACGTTTAGAAACACCTTTTGTCCTGATTTGCGTCTGTGCTTTCTAGAGGAAAAATCCCATCCTAAGGTGCTACGAGGTTAACTGCGAGATACTGGGTACCCTATTTGTTACTATTTGCCACTATTTGCCACTATTCGCCACTATTCGCACTATTCGTACTATTCGCTTTCGCTATTCGGGATTATTCGCTGTTCGCTATTCGCGACTATTCGCTATTCGCTATTCGGGGTTTCCAGACACCCCTTTCTGAACACTGAGCGTATGCATATTATTTCACTCTGATGATGATCAAACAGATCGATAAAGTTAAGACTCAATTTTAACAGCTTTTTACCTTGAAGTTTTACATTTGTCTTCTTTATTTATTGTCTATAATATCACAATTTCTTGACTTTATCCACTGAATAGTTTTTGATTTTATTTTTTATTGCATGACAATGCACACACTCTATAGGTTACAGAGAAATGCTGCCTTGGTTTATAGCGGCCCTCTTTGATATTGGGCATCCATGTTATGGGCAATTGACAACTGTCAAAACAAGGTATCCGGTGACCAGTTTCGCGTGACCACATCGGGAGCTCAAAATTAGGGTGATGGACAAAACACTGACCCCCAGTCCATGGACTACCCTAATGGACTAACCAAATGGACTACCCTAAAATGGACTACCCCTTAAAAATACTATTTCAGAAGAGTGGCATGTTAAGAAGCTGCGATTATATACTTACACTGCACGGAGGATGCTTTTCTTTTCGTTCTGCATCGCCTTCAGTCGCCATTTTGAATAAATATACTGAATAACCGCTGCACACAAAAAGCGTAGACTCATATCAAATCAAATATCTTGCTCCCATGTGATTTACAAAACTCATCAAAGTCTTCATCTGAGGATTAATTCAAATATACGTACAATCAACAACGTCCAGTTGTAACTCAAGTTATAGCCTGCAGTACAGGCGGATTAGCGGGCTCTAGCGTGATACACGAGCGCGAAGTGCGAGGCGAGATTTTTCTCGCCTCGCGCTTTGCGCGCGCTCATGTATCGCGCTAGAGCCCGCTAATCCGCCTGTACTGCAGGCTACTCAAGTTATAAGATGGAAACAGATTTTGTTATTGAAGGTGTTACCTGAGCTGTCCATGCTGGCATGTGCTGCTGACACTTCGAGTGGCTTGAATCTACGCGTTTTCTGTTCAGCGGTTGTTTTATTCAGTATAGTTATTCAAAATGGCGGCTGAAGGCGATGCGGTACGAAAAGAAAAGCATCCTCCGTGCAGTCTAAGTATATAATAATAATAATGATAATAATAATATAATAATAAACGAATCTTTAGACAGGATTAACCCATCAGTACTATAAAGTACTGTTATCAAAGGGNAAGTGATATTGGTCTGTAATTGCCTATCTCAGATGAGGAGCCAGACTTAAAGAGTGGTAATACTTTGGCTTCTTTCCATTCAGCCGGAACAGTTCCAGATCTAAGTGATAAATTGATAATGTAGGTCAGCGGCTTTGCTATTACTGAAGCAGCATCTTTCAGCAAGCCAGGTGGAAAGTTACCTAAGCCAGTAGCTCTTTTCCTTTTGAGATTTCTCAGCTCTTTGTAGATTTGCGATTCGTGGACCTCCTTGAACAAAAAGTTTGTTTTATCGCAGCTTCTTAACATACCACTCATCTTAAATAGTGTTTTTTAGGGGTAATCCATTTTAGGGTAGTCCATTAGGGTAGTCCATGGACTGGGGGTCAGTGTTTTGTCCATCACCCAAAATTAGAGTTCATCGAGGTCACGCGTTTTTTCGAAGTTGACCGCTGACCTACTACTGGTTTTCGATTAGATCGCGGACGCATGTCAGGTCAACTTGCTGTTATCAGGGCCGGGTTGTTCGGAAGCCGTTTAACGCTAACCCAGGATTAAAAGTTAACCAAAGTATAATTTTTTCTTGTATACAAATGTTTTTCACTGCTTATATTTTGCCAATTTAGAGATTATTAAAACTCAAAACAGGAGGCAAAACAATATAAACAGAAAATCTCACCGCAAAGTTACAAAACTCAAATCAGAATTCTAACTTATCCTGGGTTAGCTTAATCGGGCTTTCAACAACCCGGCCCAGGAGCTTCGGTTTTAGGCCTGGCTAAATCTATATATTATTAAACTGATGGTACTCGTACTCAAATCTAAAATCCTTTAACTTCCTTCGCTAGGACGATGGGCTCACGCGCGAAATATCGATGATCAAAATAATGGGGACGTTTTGACTTACTTTACTATGTTGTGTTGCATTCAAACTTATGATATTCTGCGGGATGCTAATGTATGTCATGCTGGTATTTTCACCCGGGTCACACTCCATGACACTTTCATGAACTGGCTGCAAAACCGACGTTTTAGAGCCGAGAATAGCATTTTTTGTTGCGGTTTTTCTCTGAGAGAAAAGATAGACAGAGTTGAGATAGATTTGCACTGTCTTTTAACTCTGTCAATCAAACAGTGATTCATGTACCGGTCAAAACCGGCCTTGAGGGAGTTTGATTTCTGGACAGCTTGGAGGCGTCTCCTCTTTTGACGCCAGAAGATTTATTTAAAAAGCCAGAAGATTTTTTTTTTAAAGTTGTTTTTTGTGCATGCCCCACATAAATTTGACTGCAATCTCTCGAGAAACACTCCAGAGAAAGTCATGTGTAATAATAAATAAGAAGCAAATCCAAAATAAAAATTTGCTTTTGTATGCTAATATAAAAAGGCTAACAACTGAGAATACAACTTGCTTACAATATAAGCTGACACTAGAAATAAAATATAAAATGAAGTATAAAGTTAATTCATTTGCCACTTTTTGTGAAAATTTCAGGCTTCGATGGATGAAGTATAGGCTCAAAATGTTAACTTCTGTCTGCCCATGTAAATTAAGTTTGTGTTACGAGTTGTTACAGGCATTAGAGAAGACATCCGACGTGGCACACTCAAAACAAACTATTTTATGCAAGGCTCCTGTGCTAACTGCTAAATTAATTTATTAATTTACAGATGAGACTATTTACATTCCCGTTGTACCTCTTGGTATTGCTTTCTGCGATCACGTGGCAGGTGTGTTGTGAACAGAAAGTGGGTAAAATTCGTCATCTCTGCGGCGGTAGCTTTAGAGTAATATGGGAACAATGCTGTGGGCATCGATGTGGAGTACATGCGCACAAGCGAGCACTTGGTAAGAAATCTAGCGACACAAAATTAATATCTGTTTTCGTCCTATTCTGATGGGAGCTTGTTAGACTGGTTATCTGACTCAACTGGGATCGATGAGCAAGGAGCCTGGACCCACCTTTAGAATCGGTATCATCTAATGGCATTGGCCCTAGATTTCGTTCTTCTGGATCACTTGGCTCTCTTCGGCCAATCAAAGCGCAGCAAGACTAAGCAAATATGGCACGAAAAATATTATTTGATTGGAATTAATTTTGAAATAATTTCCGTAAAATCAGAGCTTTGAAACATCAAACATATTGAGACATATTGAGACATTTTCCCCTGGTTTTTGATACGTCCTTTGTACCTTCCTTATGACCAAAATTATTTTTGCTATGCACAGTATGAAGCACCCGCATTGTTTATCATAGCGATGGTCATGTGTTATTTATGGCACCATATCGCAAATGTAAACCCTTATTTTCAGGCCATCGTAATTTGATTGAAAGATAACTCAAACAGCGATGATGAACATTGTACACCAACGTATTTTTCCTAAATTTGACGTTTCGTATGCTATACAAACTACCTTTTTAAAAACTGACCGTTACAATTTTTTGAACAATTATATTATCCTTTTTTAGATTCTGGACCTCTAATACTACGATATAAATAGTTCAAAAAAATTGTAACGGTCACTTTTGAAAATGTATTTTCAGCGTACGAAACGTCAAGTTTAGTAAAAATACGTTGATGTGCAATGTTTATCAAGGCTGTTTATTTTATTTTAAACCAAACAACAAAATGTTTCTTAAAAGTCTCGGACTGTCAAAGAATAGCTAATATTCATTGTTTAAGTCGAAAATATCTTAAGAACGTGAAATGAATTCGTAAAAGCTGTCGAAGGAACTCAAAATTTATATAATGAAGTATTAAAACCTAAAACTAACCTGAGGAAAGAAAAAACTTTCAATTTGGACAGAAAAGCCTCCCTACGAAACATAATAACCATGGAAACGACAAGCTACTGGTTCAAGATCTTGGCACACCTAAATTTCCCCGGAATATTTTTAAAAAGAAATTCCACATAAGCTTAATTTGATTCAGTATTGTTCACCTGAATACGACCGTTTTTGTAACAGCCTTAGGCCCCCGCGCCTCTCAGCCATAAAAGCCAAACACATTGTTTTATTTTATTTAATCAACTCTCTTTTGATCTTCAGGAGAAACGATGTCGGCTCAAAAAGCCAGTAGTTTTCTTAAGTCTACGTCCAGTCATATGTTAAAGCGAAGATCACTGGATGATGCAGTGGAGGAATGCTGTAATGAAGGCTGCACCATAGAAGAAGTCAGCGAATATAAATGTTAAATAACTGTCAGGTGTACCATAGAGTGTTGCAGTAAAACTATTTTTATTACACCGCTTAATTACGATGTCAGACGTTCCTTTTTCTCACCAGTGGAGTCATACGCTCTTTTTTATTATACCTTTAATTTGTCACTAACCGAGAGAAACTTCGCAAACAAGAACATAACATTTAAAAAATAGATTACATGTACCGTGTTTCTATCGAGTTTTAGTATAAGTCTACTAGCGTTCCATCACGAATGCCGTTCTCTGACTGGCTACGCTACTCCCTATCCTGTGATAGATAAGGAGTAGCGTAGTGTGCGCTTGTTAACAAAAATGACGGCCGCTTCTTGGCGTTTTCGAAGTGTCTGTGACGAGGATTTAGATTAAGTTTTGAACAACTAGTAGATTTATACTTAAACAATTAGATTATTTGCTCTCGATTTCTATCGCGCGACAGTTGACGATGGCGCAGCCCTAGTCAACTACCACGCGATAGAAATCTCCAGCTCATGATCATAATTTAATTGTTTAATAGAAACGCGAGTGGTAGTTTGGGAGACGAGAAATGGTGCGGAACACGAGCCGACAGGCGAGTGTTTCACCAGGGGGGNCTAACAGCTTCGTCTTCATCCCGGGGGGTGGACTCTCATATAAAATGGACGGGGGTGCTCGAAGTACCTTTTAGGAGTTAAACACACAGTTTTGGTACCTCTCAGGGTGTTAAGCCTCAAGCGGTCCACAGCGGGAACTTTTGTGGTATCTTTCAGGGTATTGAGCCGAAAAAAATATGACAAGAGATAATGTGTTATGTGAGAATTGGTACCTCCTAGGAGAGAAAAGAATTTCAAGCCACGCCCACAAAACAGGATCTTGGTAACTCTTAGGGGTTCTTTTCAAAATTTCCGATGAGCAGCCCCGTCTTTTTTGTACGCGTGCGCTACAGTGAAACCTGCATTAAGCGGACCCCATATTAAGTGGACACCCTCTATCAAGTCATTGTGGACACCAGCTTGAGTCCCTAAATTTTCTTCCCGCATTTACTGTAAAACAAACCTCGGACACCTCTGTTAAGCGGAGGCAGACACCAATGGTAAGCCATTTTGTTGTACAAAACCTGCAATAAGTGAGCACTTCAAGGACTTTTTACTTCTAAATGTTCAGCTCAGACTCCTTTAACATTATTCAGCGATGTCGTTTTACAGCTAAGTAGATTATTCTAGATTGATGCATTGACTGATTGGACATTGCGCTATGAGCAGTCTTTGATCTTACACCGTGTTACACTGTGTTAGAAAAGGGTTAATAATTAACTATTATTGCACAATACATTAGAACCAGCTGTTTAGAGCGGACACCCTGTATTAAGTATTATTTCTATCCGTGATAGTTGACGTGAGCTCGAGCTCATAAGCCAGTGTTTAATGATGATCGAGATTCATGATTCCGGTTCGTTTGATTGCACATGATGAGTTGTTGCCCAAAGAAGATTCATCGTTTCCTTTTGTTGCACCATGATCTGAGTGATCTTGGATCATAGATCCTGATCCGGATCATTCCAAAGGAACGCAGGTCAACCTTTTTCCGACACTATTTCCCTTTTTGTTTTGGTCACGCCGAGACAGCCCCAGGGACTAAGAAAGAGCTTATGGGAACCTTGAGATTGGACCGGCGCGGATGTTTTAACGAATTCTTAACAAAATGTAATTAGTAGAGAAAATAAGTGATGGTACGAAAAAAAGAGAGAAATATCCGAGTTTTCCAATGGAAGAAGAGCCGCTAACAAGCGCGTACCAATAACTTGATAATGTATTTCACGTGAAGTGCGCAGGTGCCATTTTCTCTGGGCGCGGTTACCAGCTGCTGTTCGAAAACAAGAGATCACCTCATTTTCTCTTGTCGAAGAGCAGCCCGGATTCAAGTGAGCGGTAGAAATCGAGCCTACATTTTCTCTGCCGTTTCTGTTGTTTTCCTAAGAAAAGGTTCTCTAAGGTTAAGGTACGTTCTGCCTCTGAAAAGGTATTTATATCTTTTATCTTTTATCTCATATTTTGCGTAGATCTTTATTAAGTGTAATAACAAATCGCTGTTTCATTTTGATGAGTCGACTGCTCCGACGTTGGAGCTAAACATTCAAGAGACTGGTGTCTAGTGGCATTGTAAATGGTACAGCGGTATACTTGTGTAACTTGAAATTAAACAATCAATGCAGTATTTATGCCCAAATAAATTTACATGCCACTAGTAACATGGCAGACAATGTTGCTGCTTTGGACACGCAAGAGTAACTAAATGCAGAACTTTAAATTTGAGCTAGTTCGGCGAGTTGGGGTGCAGAAAAACGGGATTTAATAGTGCAAATAACGGCGAGTAGAAAAATGACGATCGCTGCTTCCCAACTAAGACCCCAACTAATTGAACGCCTGGAACAGTCTACAGTAAGATTTTTTCAGTGCGCAGTGTGAGTTCTTTGCCGTAACCACAAACCCAAAACCCTTTCCTTTCCTTCTGATAGAAGAAAACGGTGGCCACGTAGCATAAAAGCCATCTCAGTGTAAAATTGATGTTTTGTTCCTTAAGTTCCTTCAGGCAGTGCCTTAAGCGATTAATTCTTTTCCTGTGTAACACTAAGCCCTCGCTTTTCTTGCGATTTAACTGCTTAATTATGCGCAAACAGAAAACAGGTTAATTGCCTGAAATTTATGACGTTATTTCGTTACGGACATGACTCAAACCACACAATAAAAACAACGGGCTCCACAAGGTTCCTTCAATGTACGTATGCCTCGTTGTTTTCCCCGAGTAGTTGGAGATTTCTCTATGCACTTCTGAAAAACGTGCTCTTCGAACAAATGGTGTTTTATCCATTTTGTCTCAAGTTTAAGTGTTGTCTTTTATCATTCTGATTTAATTTTATGGACCTTTTAACCAGCCTGATTGTAATCTAAAACGAAGGGATAATTGATTTTCAAGTTATGACAAGTCCATCGTGTTGAAGTTTCTCCTTACGCGGCTTAGAACTGATCATTGTTGTTATGGAGTTTAGCAGATCGCCTATAAAGTGGAAGTTGTGTTTATGCAGAAAAATAAACATAGATCTCAAAGCTGATCACACTTTGGAGTTTACACCTTTAAATTACAGTTTCACAAATTCTCTCTTTACTGAAAAAGAGATCGCTTTTCTTTCCTTTGACTTGGTTGATATCACGATATCACGATCTCCCAGAACGACGCAACGTGTTGTCTGACAGATTATGAAGTTCGAGAGAAGACTTATTGATTCGGTCATCGCTAGACAATCGCCAAGTGTGCTCATTTTGTCGCAATGAAATTCAGAGGCAATAATTGATCAAGCACAGACAATGCCGGACAGAGATATTTCAAGATTTAAATGAAGCTTTACAGCATTGTCAAGAGTAATTTTGTGCGTTTTCGTTGCGCTACGCAATTTATCGCAGGTTCTTTCCCGAAGGGTCTTTGAATCAAACCGTTTCAGCAATTTTAAATATTTTCAAGGGCTACAAGTGCATTCAAAACCTTACCACAAATGGGATTTTACGGTCAAACCAAAACCCAATAAGATTCTTCTATTATACAAAAATAGCAGTTGACTCGAGGTCACTCGCCACGGCCGCAAAGCGTGCAATCACAATTAGCATAAATTATGACAAAGTAAAAGCGAATTTTTCATTAGCAATGAAAGAAAGACGTCTCTATTATGAACACGATTACTTTGTCTTCGTTGGCCATTTAAATTTAGTTTCAGAATATTGTGCAACCGTTTACCACCTACAGAAAAACCAAACTGTTTATGTCTTACATGTAACCAGTAGGAGCTATCTGCGAACCATTCTAAACGATTTAAATTTTGTTATCAAAAACATTAAGTTGAGTTAACCTTTGTGAAAAGAAAAACGTCTGAACTTTAGTCAAAACTTCATTTCCTCGAAACAAATTAAGGCAACATAATTCTTTTGTGTATTAAAAATTGAAACGTGCCTCACTGCTCCTCTACACTAAAAGGCTTTCAGTTCAGCCTTGCGATTCACGTGTTTAATCAGCTGAAAATATTCACTTTCAACTTTGTGACAGCTCTGCCACAGAATATGACTACGATGGCGTTGCTGTTTTGCCTTGGGTTAAACCAAAAACCAGCTGGATCCACAACCAATTGTATTTCAATTTGAAATTCTCTCGCAACCTTTTTCGACGGTGAAATTTTACGTAGATTACGCAACAGAACTGAATGATAAGCCGAAGGACTATTACAAAAGCATGTAGCTAACTGAACAACGGGAGTCCGCAAAAGTGATATTTTAAGTGTTTAAGGTTTTTTGTGTAGTCCACGACATAAATTAGCAACTACATTTAAGAGATTACTTATGTCTTTTTTGAATTTTAAAAGATTAGTGCGAGGGTTTAATTTTGGCCGCAGAGAAATCAGTACGAAGTATTTAACGAGCAACTTTAATTCACAAAGCCATCGTTTCGGCTTTTCCTGACGAAAATAAGTCAAATCTAGAAAACCTCAATCGGGTAACAACTTTTTCAATTCCTTTATTATTGAAAATGACAACTGTTGAGTCGCAACGCCTGTCTAAGTCAGTGAAAAGTTCGCTTATCATATTCCATTTTTAGTACACTTACCTCACCTTTCGCTGAATATTGACGCGGATGATATGAGAACAAAATGAAGTAAGTAAATTTAGATTTGTAAACAAAGTTCCTGACTGACCATCAAAGTTTGCCATGTTTGTTTACTCGCTCGTTTAATTGTGCTCAAAGTCTAGTTAATTCTTTCGCTTTTGCTGTGTACGCTTCTACGTGTGTCCATCAGATATCCCTGCCGTCAACACAATATGTTAAAACCACAACTCACCAAACAGAAAGAAACAGTCATCCGTGAACAAATACGCTTTTTGTGAGGCAAGAACTTTCAAATTGTAGCACGATGTGTTGATGACTGTTTGCGGCTCTTAATAACCAATCGTCTTTAGGAATATAAAATAAGGAACGTGTAGCCTTTGTTCGGCTTCAATGCTTTGATTTGTTACATTGAGCGATCACTGTTCTTCGCTTTATACACAGAGTCTTTTTCTTTCTTCATCACGCAATGAACCACACGTACTATTGTGTTGAAAAGGCTTAACTTCCGTGTAAAGCGAGGATCAAAGCTTTGACTGCTTTATAAGACTTTTCTGTCGCTTCGCAGCCTCTTGAAAGCGTGTTTACCTAAGGATTAGCCAGTGGATCTTTTATGCTCTTTAGCTTATCGGTCCGAACAATGTGCTCCGTTCGCAAGCCTTCTCACACTCAGTGCAGTGACGAAAGCCTGCTCTCTTCGTCCACGAGTTATTTCACCTGTTCAGTTGAAAACCTCAGTAAATTGCAATTTGGGGTTTTCAATGAGTTTTCATTAACATCGTGACAATTGTGAAAACACTTGAATGTCGAAGCCCGCAGTGTGAAGTGTCGCCGGTGACTTTAAATGGACTTTTTCAAGTGTGAAATGCCTTTTTTGTTTTCTATCAAGAGTTTCTTCAGCTGTAGTTTGATTATTTGAGAGCATCACTGTGCTGCGCTGGCAGGGAGGGTCAAAATTTTGTATTCTTCAGTCAAAGAATTATTTTTTCTTCACTACATTTCTTTGAATCTCTGCATGAGCTTACAAATTAAGGTCCCAAACGGATTTATGGCGCATAAACCGGTGTCACTTCGTGAGCTTGCAAAAAACTCGAGCCTACTTTGTTGGGAACAATTATCAGGAAAACGCAAAGAAAAGCTTCATTTTCTTTTCCGTGTCATGCGAGTTCATGGAGCTGTTCTTTTTAGCGTGTTGCCTCTTTTGTCGAGTTTATAATGCGTTTATATTTTGTTAAGTCAGACCAATCGGCTTGCGAAAGGTAGATTTGCCAGAAGGAGTAAACAATATATGTCCATCTGCTCGCTTTCCCGTGACGAAGAGAATCGATGTTTCATGCGAAGACGCCGGAAATTATGGAAATGATTCAGACTTCCTTTGACGGATCTTAGCAGGCATTTTCTGTGTCTAAGTACGGGACCAAAATTCCTCCTTGATTTTTATACGAAGTAAATTAATATTCCAGATTTGTTTGCATATGGCATGGCTCTCATAGTCAACTGTTTTATAAAGCAGAATAAAATGCGAAGCCAGTCCCGAGTACCGGGCTTTGATAAAGAAAAGGATTCGAAAAGATCGATAGAACAGAGCCATCACGAAAGTATAAATTTACCCTAAGTCGTCAGAAGCGATGGACGTTAATTTTGTTAAGATAGACATTAAATCAACTAAGCGAATCGCAACTTGTAACTGTGGAGTAATATTAGCTAGGGCTTATGAAAATAATCGTTTGAGCATAAACAGGCTTCTCCAAAAGAAGTTTCTCGGTTAGGTAACAGTGATTTATCCATTTCCAGGTGTGGACATTTTAAACCCGCCGGTTGGCAACCGTTCACCTGCGCCGTAAACAGGATGACTCTGGCTAAAGCTGATAAACTTACAATTAGGCAACCGAAGAAAAGCATAATTATTCTTATTAAAATTACGATGCAAGAATGCCCAAAGCGTTTTCCTCGCATCAAGTTTGCTAGGAGTAAAATAATCGAGACCATTTAAAAGGTCAAGTTGTTTTTAATGACAATTTTCTGACCGCTGAAGTCAGCGCTTATATACTTAACAAGGTACTGAGATGAATTCTTTTCTTGATCTTGCTCAGGTCATTTAAGCAAAGAATTGTTAAACCAGAATTCTGTTGTCTGCAGGCGTCAAGGAAAGAAAATCAGCTGCTTCCTTGTTTTGTTCTGTTTTATTTGGCTATTATTACTTCTTAAAAAAAAAGTGGAAGTCACACTTGTGCTCCTTTCTCATTCATCATCATTAAAAATTGATTTGTCGTTTCATTGTTTACACACGATCAAAACACAGCTTATTTCGATCGAGTTGCGACTGTCCGCCTTGCTTCCATCGTCTTTCTTCTATTATCCTGCACCAAAGCTCATGAATATTCTAGAATATTTACCAAATTTTGCGTTAATTGAAATGAACTGTCTCCGTTTGGTTTTCGTTGAAGAGCGAAAAAGATCTCTGGTCAAAAAGTCCAATCGGTGTTAATGAAGATTATATGAGTAGCGAGGTGATAGAACTTTTTGCCAAGCCCGTTTGTTCCACAGCAAACCGTCGTAAATTTCGCTTTTTCTCAAACACCTCATTAGTATGCAAATATATAACAAAAGACTGCTTTGTAAATGATTATCTATTAAAACGAGCCCACGTAGATGAATTTCTTTTTACGTCGAGGAATTATCCGGGCGTTTACGCACCGTTTTATGCCGTAAGACTCTCTTTGGCCCTATTTGGACTCCAGACTGCGGTTTGAAGACTTAGGATTTCTGCGTTTAGCCTAATGTATTTAAGAAGAAAAATGTTCCTTTTGTACAGTTTCAACTGACTTCTATAACGAGCTACTCAACGAGACAAAAACACTTTCGCAAGGGTAATAACAACTGGATTGATTCCCATTTCTCGTTGTTTTTCCTCGTGCTAAGCAATTAAGAGTCAAATAGACGCAGCATCGATTTTGTCTCTGGCATAATAGCAATTTTAAACTGTTACAAAGCGTTTATGATAATCAATTGAAGATTTGAGTGCTGATTAGCTAAGCTTGTGTGTTACTTTTGTTGCTCGCAGGTTGCTTAAGCGATACACTTTTCCATGTGCTTCAACAAATGATGTCGAATTAGTGTCAGGTTAAGTTTCAATCATGTTTCAGTCTTATCCAAATATAGCCTGGGAGAGAAGTCCTCTTTGACCCCTTTCTACATTGTCTCGTTTCGCCTTGTAGCGTGAAGTGCTTAGCGTAAAAACAACATAGCGAAAGGTGTCGAATGGAAATTAGAGTAAATTTCTTTTGTGCGAAGTATTGTCTTCGGGCAATCGAGGACAAGCTTTGTATGTTTATGAAAAGAATTCTCTTCGACTTGATCAGACGTTCAATTCTAGAACTCCCTGAGGGGGACGAAAATAGGGTGTGATGTACCCCTTTCGTGCCCTAGGGATAAATGGTTCCTTCTCTTCGTTTCTGGTGCTGCTTTTATACAGCGCACTAGCAGAGTGTAGCTAGCCAGCTAAGCTGCAACAATATGGCGTGTATTTTGAGGATTTTCTGTGGTTGTTTGCAAGATAAAATGCATTGTCCTCGCGTTGTATTCATCGCCGCGAGAGTGAGCTGAATTTCCAAGTGAAACAAAAGTTCAATACAATAAGCAGGTGCTAACAATTAATTTCAGCCAACCTCAATGCTATGTGTTTAAAATGAGACGATTAAAAAGTGTTCTGGGACGTGTGAGCCTCAGCAACAGCCGTGCCGGTCAATCGAAGTCCAACGTGCTTTGAACAAATGCCATGAGCATGTGTTAAACAAGGCCTCGGTGGGCAGACTCCCTTACTGACGTCACTTTGGAGCCAATGGGAATGGCCTGATTACTCAGGGGCCAAGGAAAATGCTTTCACCTCTACCATGTAAGAGCCTGATGTATTGTTTAATCCAGTTGACCATTTCAAAGGTGTGTTTACTAAATATAGAATGCTGCCATTACAAGCTATAGTGAACTGCAACACCACGATAACCCATTGTTCTCTGCGTCTCATTCAAGCCCAGAAAGCACGTATTCTTTATTACCTACGAATCTCATTTCCAACAGGCGATCCTGTTTAATTCCCCGAGAAGTCTGCTTTTCAGTCATCGTTAGTTCAAGCTTTCGTGGTGTATCTCTTCTGGACTGAGTGTTTGTCTTCTATGGACTTCCAAGTCGGCCAAACTGTGTTTGTCAGCAGCTTCGCTCACTGTAATTTCGAATCTGTCTTTCAGTATCACCTCGGGGGTCTAGCAGTAAATAGGTGGCTGGATTCAATCCGCGTGTTGTAGATTTTCTTTCAAAGACCCCCGCCCTGTCTGAATGAGGGGGTCATGTAGTTTCCGATATTAAACTCACATTGTAAAGCAGAACAGTCACATCGGACACAAGATTAAACCTGCGTCATAAGCTTGCCCCCTGTTTAAATTGCTGTGCTTACAGCATACCTAAGCTCAATTAAGTTCATCGAGAGAGCTTCCAAATCTATAGAAAAATGACGTCCCCGTATGTCTGTGTATTCCCAGGCTGGTCTCAAGGTGTTAAACCGTACAAGCAATTAGCATAACATTGAGCAACCATACATTCCCATGTTTTAATCTCCCACGTTAACTTTGCTTGTTTTCCACTCCTGTTACCCTATTTAACGAGTGTAATTCTAGTATGGCAGCACACGCGGTTCTTTTTCCTTTATTTTTCGAGATCGAAAGTTGTGATAATCCAATTAATTGTTTGTCAAAACAAACGCGGCACCTGATTGGCTGGCTCAGCAGGTGGAGTCTTATTAAACTGCGCTCAAAAACTCGTTTTAGTTTAACTTTTGCTCTCGTGAACAACATTGATACATTTCGTCAACAAGGCTCGACCACCGTCTTATCTCTCGCCGATCGTTGCCTACAGGTTTTACAACTGCCTGCTTCGCAAAAGACCCTTCCGCTTCGAGATTTTCTCCAGAGATTTGGGATTTTTTTCTAATTAATTCAGAATGGAGTATCCAGATTTTGCCTTTTCAATGCCAACCTGCTATCAGCTGGGAATTCCGAGTGAGAATCCTCCACTCAGTCAACTGCCTCCGTATTATGGACCGCCGATGACTATGCCGATTCCTCACCCGTTGTATGACTATAACCTTGAACCAGCCTTCATTCGCAAGAGAAACGAAAGGGAGCGAATTCGAGTACGTCACGTCAACGAAGGCTATGCGCGCCTTCGAGAACACCTCCCCGACGAACCTACAGATAAGCGGATGTCAAAGGTAGAGACATTACGGGCCGCAATCAGGTACATTAAACACTTAGAGAGCTTGTTGGATGTCGGCAAAGATAGCAAACAGGATAAGAACACCGAGGGAACCTCAAAAAAACAAGAATCTACAGAGGACGAGAGGTAAAAAGAACAGTTGATGTCCTTCCGTGAGATTACATCACAAGAGGTATCTTGAACCTTTACGCAAGACAATTTTAATGCACAATAATGTCTTCCTGTTTTCTGTGACCCACAGAAATTGAAATTAGCGCATATGACTTTAAATTAAACAGAAGATTTGCTCTTTTAATTCAGGCAGGAGATAGTGGGATCGTTTCTCAGTCGTCTTCCTTGCCATTGAACTTTCGCTTGGAAAATAACAGGGCTAGGCCGTATTTTCTGTTCTCAGTTTTCTTGCTTGGAGGAACTAGATGCGAAAAAGTAAACTTGCAGTTGTGATACTGAAAGTGTTTGATGAACACAAAAATTTTTAATGACCGTAAATATCCCTGTATAACATAGCGAATTTACATAATTTAGTGCAAAAGTGTATTTAGCGGACAAAAGTCTCTCTGAAATGCATTCTTTAGTCCGTTTTGCTTTGCCTTCGAAACGCTCAATTTAAAAGTTATTTTAACAACAGTGCCATTAAGTACAGTTGTCGGCCCTACGCCTTGTTCAAGTTTATTGGCTTCAATCTATGCGCGATCGACGGCCTTTAATAGTTTATTATTCAAATGATAAAGTTATGTAACAGTCGAAAGCTGACGCGTATGAGGTAGCAATGATTGTTCCATCAAATACTAATGAAAAAATATTCAACCGCTTGCGTCTTTTAAAGTTCATGGCGGCAGATAATTAAACAGCACGAGCAAAACGAATAAATGTCTTTTACAACACAAAGACTCTTGCCGTTTTATTAATAATGAGCCTAACGAGTTTTCACCTTTACGGGTTTGCCGGCCGCTTGGTCGCCTTGATACAAACTTTTGTCTTTGTTAAAAGACTCGTACAATTCAGTAATTTACCAAAATGGTCCAGTAGGCTTACTGCGCATGTCATGCAGCTCTCTTTGTGGCTTGATCGACTACAGCTGTACTAACAAATCAAACTTGGTTTGTTCAACTTTGAGGCAGTATCATGAAAACGTTGATTTTTTTTATCAGCACTCGGTTTTCATGCTGAATGTTTAGTGGGAAACAACGCAGTTTCTCTGCTTTCTATAACATTGCAAAGGACGTGTTAAGAAGCCCAGTTCACCACTTATAGAGACAATTGTCTAGTTTTGTATGTAGGCCGCTTTGTTCCTATTAATTAAGCGTGAACAAAGTGCGTTCTTTTGCTTCGATAACATCACTCGGTACACGACACAAAAGATACATAAGGCTTAAAGAATCAATTCTGCTTGTGGTGTTTTCGTCTCGCTCGCCAGCTGATAAACTGCCTACAGCAAGAGTTTTGTTTTGGAGGATTTTCCTTCTCTTATGCTAATGTTTAAAGCCCAAATGTAGCCAATTTAAAACAACACGCATAATAACTGTTGCTTAGTGTTGGATTAAGACGTATTTCCTGTTCGTTTCAGCTTGGATGAGTAACCCAGCAAATGAATTATGTGACTTCTTGAAGTAGATTTATGAATTCTGATAGCGTTTAAACACCATATCAGTCCGTCGGTAAGCAAGTTATTTTCTGGATGTTTTTCCAGATTCAAGATAATAACTCAGCAATACTTTGTTATACGTCAGTTCCCTGCTGTGGTAAAAATTTCCGCTTGATCCTCGTCCTTAAAATTTGCTAAGTGTTTCGTAGTAATTGCTTAAAGCAATGCTCTTCTTTAATTTCCGACGAGTTGTTATGCAAATCAAATCAATTAACCAAAGCGGAGAGCAGAACAGAAATTATCGTTAAATAATATTTTCAACAATACCGTTTCGGTGAAAAAACACGGAAACCCCATTTGCCTTTTGGTTTGACAAAATACGATGAATTAAAAAAATAGAACTCGCGGCTTAAAAGCGCGTTAAAAGCACAATTACATTGCCACCAAAGTGCTCTACGAACTGAAAAGAAATTTGCTCGTCATTTTTCCTGTTTATTTCAAACAACACAACAACGTGCAAATATTGTACTGAGCTGAATCCAGTAAACGTCTGGAGAAATCTATAGCTTTGAAAACTGCTTCTTTTACGCTTACTGTCTTTAACGTAAAGCGAACTTGTAAAACGGAACAAAGATTGAACAACTAGGTGTCAGTTTATATTAATCGGCTTAAAGAGAACACGTGCAAATAATGAACCTCTGGGAGCAAGGACTAAGTGTATTTTTGGGTATATGAGCTCCAAAATGCTTCATTATTAACCTCGTTTGAGTATATTTGAAAGGCGACTGTTAGTGATCAAATATTACCCTTCGTTGACTTCGGATGGTATGCTTTCTCCTCACTAAACTTTTTAGATTTGTTTTCTCTATTTCAGTTTAGTCAAGCTCAAAACGTGTCCCATCATTTAGCCGTTCTTTTGTCATTTAAAAGGAAACAATAGGCCTCATTGTGTAAACTCACTTGACAGTTTAACTAGGTTGTTGTTCATGTGAAATTATTCCGTTTTCACGACATTTCAAAGGTGCACAGTGTGTGCCTAGCAACACAAACCTGCCTTTTGCTGACAACACCGAAAACTTTTCACACACAGTATGGAGAGTAAACAGTGCCCAAAAGACTGCCAGCCAAGAAGGGTATTTTATTCATCCTCCATGGAAATGAACTTAAGGCATCAGTCCTAGACTTAATTTTCTTGGGTTTAGCTTACCTGTTTCTCGACACAATAATTTCTCTATCGGATTGGATTTCGCAATAACCAATATACTATCACAATGATCTATTTTCCACATTATCAAACAGTACAAGCAATGCGTGGGTGAAGTTTGTTCAAGAATTCAAAATCATGCTTTTTTGGCGCTTTGTCCTTCCTGATGTGAGAGACAAAGGTTTGAATAAATTCGACAAACAGAGCTTAGCTGTTACGCTGTCGAAAATCTATCTGTTTATATCTCATGCGCTCTTGTGGGACAATGCTAAAGACAGTTTTTTGTCCTCGTGTACCTCATCCAGACGGTTGGTTTCGTCTTGCTCCTTCTCTGTTACGCGATCCGCATTAGGGCTGCTTCCCACGTGCATTTTAAAGCGCACCGCGTCACGCGAGTGATTCTGACTGCAAGCACACTCGCTTCAACAGCCTCTTTTGAACAGACGAGAGTGTTTGCCGTGCACAGAATCGTTACAAAACAGTGCTCTATCTCTCGGTATCTTTCTTTTGTGAAGGGGCCATTTAATTGTTGAACAAAAATGGGCTTAGGAAGTGTTTAAGGCTGGTGAAAGAAAGATTAAGCTTACGCCTCTGTCTTTTGTGGTCAGTCGGGTTGAAAATACCTCAACTGGTACTTTGTGGTTACTATTTGCAACCACGAGGTCGCAAAATAATGGCGATACCTCATGGGATACCTTGAGAAATATCCTAGAACATCTTGTTGCTTGGCGGTAGTTGTCGATGGACGCGATATTCACTTAATTTTTTTAAGTTTATGATTTCAAAAAGACAATGCCAACTCATGTGCATGGAAACTAATTCGTGAAGTTATTTGCTAATATGACAAGTCAGCCAGTCACAGTTCATGATTTGCACAATCAATAAGACCGGTTACGACGTTTACATGGCTCACTACCTAAACAAACAGGTCCGAAGACAAAGGCCCACAATCAAAATAGTAGATTCGTATCGTACCAACACAACTCCGTCGCTTAGCAGTGCGGCTTAAACAAAAACCCGTAAGAATAGCTCCACTTGTTATATTCAAGGAAGAGCACACAGCTGCAAAGACCATGTTTAAAAAACAAAAACAGAATGTTTTCCATGCCATAACATTCCAAATAATAGAGAACTCTTTATTCAGTTTAAAATCAGGATGGTGAAAAGACTCCTAAGGAAATTGTTCATGTGTTACCTGACACTTCAACGAGCAAAGAATCTTCGTTCCAATTTACCTCACTGAAATTCGTCCCTCGTAAAAGCACCAAGAGTAGATTTGATGCAACGCTTCTGCCACAAGATTGTCACTGAAATAGCGTTGTTTACACATTTCTTTTGCATTGTATCGATGTTGCTTCACAATTTGAGAAAATTAATACCTCGCAGTATGTTGTTTTTGACCGAGGACATTTGCGCCGTGCAATTTGCGAGACACACTAAGATAATTTTGGGAGGATTCTAATGACATCACGTACAGGAGTATGAAACAATGCATGGGACTGTTTGCATGAACTTTTTTTTTTCTAGCGAGGTAACCTTCGGTCTCAGTTGTATCACAGCATTATGTTCGGAAGACATAACAAAAATTCACAGACAGGAAAGAACTTGATGTTCTATCACAGATTGTTGAGGTATGGTCCACCTGCAAAGCTATATCGCGCTAACGCGATTATCTGTGTTTAACCCGAAAAACGTGCACGAAATATGTATGACCCACTAGCTGTGCAGGCTAATTCACTTCCTCAGACCGCCTTACAGTTTTGTGCCTTCGAAACCGCAGATCGCTCTTGTTTTCTCCTAACATCATCACAACCGATCTTTTAACAGTACGTAACAATTTTTTTTACAAAATGTTAGCTCAGTAATCGTATTTCTCTTCACAAAGACCACAAGATCTTAAGAACAGAACAAATTGTTTCTAACTTCCTTCAGTAGCCTTCGATCAAAAAGTTTTGACGTCCGGTGGGCTGTTCCGGAGGGATGTTTATTACGAAACGTAAACGTAGACATTTTGAGCCTGGGGTGTGTTGTCTGTTCTTGTGCGGCCTGTCAATTCTAACATGGATTTACGGACAAAACGAGCTTGTGAAATTTATTTCATTTCATTTTTTATTTCATTTTTTATTTATTTCATTGTGAAATTTACGTTACCTTCACTAAATTTACGTTACCTTCACTAGACTGCCGCTACAAAAACACGGAAAAACCAAAAACCACGAGCTAAATTTATGATTTCCCACAACCGCGCGATGATTTCTTAACTGTAAATTACCCGCCAGATAAATGTGAATATACCTGCAGACCGGCACTCAAAATTGGCTTAAACCACCAACCCACCAAA